TATTAATATTGCAGTTTGGGTTAAATGTTTAAACAAATACGGCTTTTTGGGAATTTTAAAAGCGATGTACGAAGAGAAGGATAAAAGATGAAAGGTCGTTGTACTTACGTAAAATGCCACTATCCTGTCCTGAAAACAGTGATGAAGCTAAAAGAGGTTTTAATAAGATAAAATGTCAGTTTCCACCGGGTGACATGTTGTTGATAGCCGTGGTAGAAGCTGATGTAAGGCACAAGTAATGACTCTGAGCGGACAGAGGAGCTCAGGACTGCCGCTGCACACTAGAGCTGGTCGGTTCCTGAGCTACTCGAGTTAATGATTCGAATCCTAGAACTGAATCAGATTCAACGAATCTGAAGTCTAAATTAATCCGAATCCCAAATGTCCTCAGGCAGACATCATAATACCGTCCACAAACTAGCAAACCCAAACACTAGCATATATATATATACATACACACTCGGCTGGCCTGGGAACGCCTTGGAGTTCCCCCGGAGGAGCTGGAAGAAGTGGCTGGGGAGAGGGAGGTCTGGGCCTCCCTTCTGAAGCTGCTGCCCCCGCGACCCGACCCCGGATAGGCGGAAGAAAATGGATGGATGGATATTAGCTTGCTTGTTCAACTTACAGCACTGTCACTTCACATCATCATCATCATCATCATCATCATCATCATCATCATCATCATCATCACAAAGATCACTCCTCAGAATATGTCCCAAATATTTCACTTTACTCACAACATCCAAAACGTGATTTTTTAAATAAAAATTCATCTTCTGATCCTCCTTTCTTGTAGCAATCATAACAACACTTTTTTAAGGATTAAACATGATGTCAAACTGGTCACCATATTTAGCACAGACTCTGAGCAACTGCTGCAAGCAGTGTTATACGGAGACAAAATGATCATCTGACTTACATGGTGATTACACACCCATTTCAACAGACAAATCATCAAGATACAAGTTAAAGCGGACTGGAGACAAAAGTCTCCCCATCTGATCTCCAAACCCCACTTGACCTAGAATACCAATAATGTAAAAAATCCAGATTTAGGTCCCTGACTAAATCTGCAGGGACCCCTCTACTATGTAGCTTAAACAACTTATGATGGTTAAGTCCGTCAAAAGCTTAAGACGTGACTAAAAACACATAAAAACAGAAATGTTCAGTCTCTTATATTTACTTACAATTTCCTTCAATGATTAAATACATAAATCAGTACTGAGCTTAATTTTAAAACCAAATTAATTATCATTTGTTATATATTCATGAAGGATTTCTAATAGAAAATGTTCCAAAGGTTTAGACACGACACTTGCCAAAGCAACTGGTCTAAATTTAGACTTAATCCAAGTTGGCCTTCTGTTCTTAAATCTGTTCTCTTGTTATTGTCAGTAAAAAAAAAAAAAAAAAGAGGAAGTCACGTAAATCTTAAGTTTGTTTGTTGCATAAGTTAAATTTTCTAACCGTTGAAGCTGTCAGGTGTCTCAAGACTTTGCATTTATTTAGTTACTTTTCTTAGTTTGCACACACAGATAGAAAGTCCCACACCCTAATTACACAATATTGAGAAATCAGGTAAGACCGTAACGGTCACACATTGGGAAAACACTGGTACACAAGTGAGGCAAGGTGGAGGGAACCAGGGACTGTTGGAAGGCCCAGCACTGAACCTGTACTTTTTCTCTGCCTATTTAGTGATAAATATTTTAACTTTATTCAGCTGGTAGTATTTTTATTTAACAAAGAGTTCTGGGTAAAATAGAAAGTTCTCCCTCATCTGAAAACAGAACTCTGGGTCGTTGTGCCCTTGAACGCAACATTGATGTGAAAGCTCTTCATATTTTCAGATCCGTCGTCTCCCGCCTTCATATCCATCACGTTTTTGTAATTTTACTAGCTTTACTTTTTGTTTTTTGAGTATTTTAGGATAATAATAATAATTTGGCGGCTATGGTGCAGTGGTAGGGCAACTGACTTGCTCATATGTTGTGGTGTGCTTGAGCAAGACCCCTGACCGCTCCACTTGGGTGTCTCTCACGTGTGATGGGTCAAACGCAGGGCACAAATCTCATCATTGTATGGGAACATGATGACAACTAAAGAACTTTTACATTTGTATTCATTAATTTATGAAAGCTGGTGTCAGGTGGACTCCAGTTTCTGAGACCAGCCCAGAACTGTTAAGGCCACACGTTTCCACCTGCGTGGTCTGAAATCTTATCGGTGTGAAGCAGCAGCTGTTCTGTCATTTATTAATTTTGGTTCTAAAAGCAGCTGAGACCCCAGACCAGACCCCTCAGATCCTTCAGGCTGACACTTTCCAACCATGAAGGTGAGTTTACGTCCTGCTTCCTGCTGCTTTTCATGGAGAACCCTGTAAATGTTTCTGCAACTGATTGTTTCCCCGTAGCGGCTGCCCCTCCTGCTGCTGGCTCCTCTGCTGACCAGCTGTTTGCCTCTGGACTGCAGCGACCTCTATAAACAGGACAGCACCCGACCTAGTGGGGTCTACACCATCTACCCCATGGGAGGCGCATCAGGCGTCCAGGTGAACCGACACCTCGTTACGCCTCAACTTGGTTCCTTGTGTTTGGGTAAATCTGTGTTTGTGGTTCTGCAGGTGTTCTGTGACATGGACTCACACGGAGGACGATGGACCGTGAGTTTCTGAACTTCACACAGATTTAAACTTTCATACGTTCGATGGTTTCACATAGAAATCTTGTTTCAGAGGAAGTTTTACTGTTCGAACATTCGAGTTTCTCTAATGCTGCATTCAGGGTTGGTGAAAAGCTGGGAAATCTGAGCTTTACCACATTTACATTTAGTGGGAAAAATGCATTTGACTTATAGCTCAAAAACCTTAAAGCAGGGAATCTCAAATTTTTTTAGGTCTGGGGACCCCTTACAAGAGCGAAAAAATTCCAGGGACCCCCTCATAAACCCCATGCTGTTTTAAAAGATAATTTATTGTAATTTCAACAGTTTATTATGATTGTTTAATTAGTTTGTTGTTCTCCATGAATTTTTAAAAATAAAAACAAAATCAACAATTTAGTGAAAAATTTTGAGGACCCCCAAGATACCTCCTGCAAACCCCTGGGGTTCCTGGGACCACAGTTTGAGAACCTCTGACTTAAAGTTTATTAAAGGGCCTGTGACATGCTTATCCTTCAAATACAAAAAGTCAAAGGAAACATTTATATTTAAAACAATTAGCACAATACACATAATTTTACCCATTTTGTCTCATAACTGGCATAATTTCTCTTGAATTTGGCTCAGCAAAGTGAAACAGGAAGTGACATCAAAGGGGAACTCTCCAACAAAGAAAATTCTCTGGTCTTTTTTTTTTTGAAACAATCATTTTTAAACTCTTCAACTCTGATAGTGACTCTAAATAATCTAAAAGAAACATCAGATTCCTCTCTAATTATTGTAACAACGCTCTGTTTACATGCAGACTTTGACATCACTTCCTGTTTCTTCACATACAAATATCTCAACAGCGTGAAATTTGTTTTGCAATATGTTAACAATGTTCTCTTTCCAAAAACACATTAATTCATTAATTTGTGTATTTTCTTGGTTTATTTTTATTATTATTGTACAGTTATTTTTTAATGAAATGAATAATTTTTTAAATTGAATTGACATTCATATTTGTTATAAAAATTTGATGTCACAGGCACTTTAAAACACACTTGCATTAACATTACTCGGTTCTAAAAGTGTAAATTTTGTGAACTGTACGGCTAAAATAATCGATCTAAAATGAGTAAGTTGATCAGAACAAATAAATGTTACCTGAAAAATACATTTTCCCTGTAGTTTTTCCACAAAATAAAAACCATTTAGAGATTTGATTCAGCTTTCCTTAAATTTAACATTTTTTTCTTGTGCAAAAACTACCAGAAATACAACTTTGAGTATTTACTTCAAATGTACACATACACATAACACAGGAAATCAAGACTATTTATTTCTATTTCTTTTCTTTTTACAAAAATTACTATTTATCAGTCCTCCTCTCCAAAAAGTAACAAATGAATCACAAAAAAGTGACTTGCAGATTTTTATGTATTTATTCATGTGAAACAAATATTTAAAACTGTTATTTTCCTTTTGAAAAAATATTCAAAAATGTATTTATTGGTAGATTTCAGACAATTCGCATTCAATATAATATAACCTACTTATGTTAATGTGTTTTAATATATAGTTTATGAGCTATAAGCCAGAAATAACCCAGTAAATGTTACAAAGCTCAGATTTCCTACCGTTTCTGACACTCCCACTGCAGCACGTTTCCAAACAATAGTTTCAGGGGATGGGTGCTCTGTGAGGCCAGGAGCTCGGCTGCAGACTGAGCTCCAGGGAGGAGCTTTGTGTAAACAGGTGGGGCTTTGTGTAAATGGGCGGGGCTTTGTACCAGCACGTGTTTAAGCAGCTCCACGAGGCCACAGGAGATTCAAGGATTTCTCAAACATGCAGGAATGAGTCAAAGCAAAACTCTGGGAATGTTTTTGATGAGGGGATGAAGTAACATGAAAAAGTCGAGTTTACATGACCCCCCCCCCCCCCCAAAAAAAATCAACCTTTCTGAGTTAAAGGTCTGATCTGGATCTGATGGTTCTGATTCTCCTCCAGGTGTTCCAGAGGAGGTTGGACGGCTCGGTGAACTTCCACAGAACCTGGGATCGGTACAAGATGGGCTTTGGGAGCGCTGCTGGGGAGTACTGGCTCGGTGAGACCTGAACCCAAACCAGCAGACCTGAACCTCCCACCAGGACGTTCTGACGGATCCGGCCTCACGTTGTTCTGCCTCCGCAGGTCTGGAGAGCCTGTTCCACCTGACCCAGCTGAAGAAGAATGAGCTGCTGGTCGACATGGAGGACTTCGAAGGAAGGAAGGTGTTCGCGCGGTACTCCTCGTTCTCCATCAGCCCCGAGTCGGACGGATTCCGGCTGAGCGTGGCCGGGTTCATCGATGGAGGGGCAGGTAGGTCTCAGAACACAAAACGATGAAAACCCAGACTTTATTTAATGATTTTCTCCTGCAGGAGACACTCTGAGTCGTCACGACGGGAATCAGTTCATCACCTTCGACAAATACAAACACGGCGCAGAGGAGAACTGCGCCAGGCACTTCCTGGGGGCGTTCTGGTACTGGAGGTGCTACTACGCAAACCCGAACGGGGTTTACGTGTGGGGCGCCGACGGGTCCGACTACGAGGTGGGAGTGGTCTGGTACAGCTGGAAGGGTCAGAGCTACTCTCTGAAAAGCATCAGCATGAAGGTTCGTCCCGTTTAGAGAAACGTCCTGCAGGCTGGAGCTCCGGTGCCTGAGAGGAACTAAATAAACAAACTGATGACATCATCAAAGCTCTGATTGTTCTGTTTACTCTGAAATGTTCCCATCAGTCCACAAAGAATCAAACAGGAAGTTCATCTTTAATCAAAACTACAAGTTTCAGTTTCACAAAACAAGAGATGCAAAAAAATAAACCAAAAGTAGAAACCAGAGAGGCCCCGCCTCCTCAGCGGTCAGTCACTCCGTCAGGTGGGTTTGGATCTTTTAGCTGCAGAAGCGTCACCTGAACAGGTAAACAGAGAAAGGCCGGGTCAGAGCCGAGGTCCTGAGGTTCTACAGCAGCCCCGCCTCAACGTCACTTCCTGTCTGAGCTGCAGAGGAAACCCACCGTCTGCTGCTGAGTCCTGCGGCGCCTCCTGCTGGATCTTCATGGTGTGTAAAACTCCGCTGGCTGTCTTCCTGGTTTCTGACCACAAACAAAATAAAAACAAACAAAAATAAACAAACAGACAAACCAAACAAAAACAAACAAGACAAAACAAAATAAGTAAATACAAACAGACAAAACAAACAAACAAAACAAAAACAAACAAACAAAACAAACAGACCAAACAAAAAAAAACAAACAAAACAAACAACCCAAACAAAATAAAAACAAACAAAACAAAAAACAAACAAAGCAAACAGACAAAACAAACAAAATAAAAAACAAACAAAACAAACAAAGACAAAAATAAACAAACAGACAAAACAAACGAAAACAAACAAACCAAACAAAATAAAAACAAACAAAACAAAAAACAAACAAAGCAAACAGACAAAACAAAATAAAACAAAACAAAGACAAAAACAAACTAAAATAAACAAACAGACAAAACAAAAACTAAAAAACAAAGAAACAAAACAGACAAACAAAACAAACAAACAAACAAAAAACAAACAAAATAAAGACAAACAAAACAAACAAACAGATTGAATAAACACAAACAGAAAAAAACAAACAGAAAAAACAAACAAACAAAAAACAGAGAAAACAAACAAAAACAAACAAACAGACAAAACAAACAAACAAACGGTGATGAAAACAGTCTGAACCAACAGGAAGCTGCAGAACTCCACCAGGATTTACCTGCATGCAGTAAAACGCTTCTGCAGGTCCAAGAGACGGATTCTTTAGAGTCTGAGTCCGACAAACCGAACAGCTGACCTCTGAGACCCGGGTCAAGAACATAACACTCACAGAACCATACCTAGAACTACAGAGACCCAGACAGAACCAAACACATTGAAGCTGATCTCTGATTGGAGGATACAGGTTGGTGATGTCATACGGTCCTCTGAGCTCCAAAGCCTGAAAACACAAACATTCTGTTAGAAAAATTACAAATGTTCCGAAAGGTCCAAACCCAGAGGTGTTCTGGTTCAGAACATCCACACAGACCAGAGGTCCTCTATCCTGGTCTTGGAGGTCCACAATCCTGCATGTCTCAGATCAGGGATCTCCAGTCCAGATCCTGGAGGACCACTGTCCTGCATGTTTCATATGTTTCCTTGTTCTTCATTAAAAACCTCTTAATCACTTGTTCATTTACCAGGACTGGAGATCCCTGATCTGAAACATGCTGGACAGTGGTCCTCAGGACCAGGACTGTGCACCCCTCGACACAGGAACATAACATGGAAGTTGAAGCTGAAACGAACTGTTTTAAGCCCCGCCCCCATCAATTAAACCACGTTACAGCGTCACTGTCTGATGCTCTGAGACGTCCCTCACCTTCACCGCTGCACTCGACAGAATCACGTTCTGTAAGACAGAAACGGCTCTTAGCTCTCGGGTTACACCTGCGATGATGTCATTCAGCTGCAGCCAATCAGACGCAGGGACTCTCACCTTTCCTTTGCAGCTCTCCATCAGACAGAGGGCGTTGGCGATGGTGTAGCGCCTCATGGTGGAGTCCCTTATGGCAGCAGCGTACGAAATCTCAAACACCAAGCCTCTGTCTATGGCCTAAACACACACTCATGCAGTAAACACAACAACAACCACAACAACAACAACACAAACAACAGTCAGGTTGTTACCCCGTAGATCGGTGCTCTCTTGAAGAAGAAAGGAAGTTTTTCCGTCACCGTGATGCAGATGATGTCGATGTCATACAGCATGCAGGCCGCCTGAATGCCACACACACACACACACACACACACACACACACACACACACACACACACACACACACACACACACACACACACACA